CTGAGGGAGCTGAGTTGCTGTCCCAGTGGGCCTAGGGTCAAGGGGCCAGCACCACAGTCTGGAGGGCAGGGCCTGCTCCATCACTGTACTTTGAAAGCTGCTAACCTCAAGATTAGCAGTTTGAAACTACCAGCTGTTCGGCGGGAGAAAGATGAGGCGTTCTGCTCCCGGTACTTAGCAACTTAACAACTACACTAACTTGTATTTTAGGTTTCACAAATGATGAGAAATGTTGGTTCAGAATGATATTTGGACTTGGAATTTGTTTAAGGCTTTTAGGGTGATATGATGGAGTGAAAGTGTTTTTCATATGAGAAGGACATGAATTTAGGGGGGTCAAAGGGTGAAATGTCATGGATTGCATTGTGTCCCCCCAAATACGTGTCAATTTGGTGTGGCTATGGTTGGCAATGGTTTGGCAGTAATGAAATGATGTAATCATCCCCACAAGGTGATCTGATGTGATCAGCCAATCAGTTCTAAGAGGATCAGATCACAGCTCCCATCTGATGTAAGGGGAGTCTCCTGGGAGGGTTACCTGCATCACCTTTTGATATTACAAGAGTTAAAAGAAGAGAAAAACAAACAAGGATCGAGAGCACTGACTTCCACCAAGAAGAAACAGCTGGCAGCAGAGCATGTCCTTTGAACCTTAGGTCCTTGCACAGAGAGCCTCCTAGACTCAGGAGAAGACTGAGGCTAGGGTTCTTCAAGGGATGCCAAGCTCAGAGATGTTGAAGGGAGACAAGAACCTTTCTCCAGAGCCAACATAGGCTGACACCTGTAATCCAAACTTCTAGTCCCTAAACTGAGAGAATAGTTGTATTTGTGAAAGCCATCCACTTGTGGTATTTCTGTTATAACAGTACTAGAGAGTAAGACAGTTTGTCATTGTTGTTGTTTAGACCCATTGAGTGTCGAGTCAGTTCTGACTCATAGTGAAACTGTGTCGTGTTTCCAAGCTTTTATAACCTTTGTAGGAGCAGACAGACTCATCTTTCTCCTGAGAACTAAGATAGTAGCTATGCATTTCATGATGAAAAGTCATTTCCATCAAAACCACACACTTAGAAGAGAGGATTCCCTCCCCTGACAAAAGTGGGAGAAGGACCCAAAGATTGAAGTTTGGGCTCTGACCCCACCAGCCCCACACTGGTCCCTCCCACTTACTAGAACTGCCATCTTGAGCTATCAACAATGATGTGTTCACTCAACCCATTTGTACTCATATTACAACTGCCCAGGAGCCCTGCAGCGATGGAATATCGCATAAAGATTTAAAGCAGAGAAGCTGGCTTTGCAGTTGCGAACTGTACAATTACCCCCTTCAAGGACTTACCAGGTCAGGAAAAGGAGGGAAGAGACAATATCCACTGAGCAGTCATTAAGTCCTTAGGTTCCCACCAGCTTCTCAGGAGTCAGATGGCTTTTACAGCCCTGCATGCCTCACAAGGCAACTAAAGCTTAATGACACCAAACAATAGCACATATGAGAAAACTGTGAGGATGGTACCCCAGGCTCAACAAGGACTCTGAGAAAAGTTACATGACTTGGCTGAAAGCAATTTTTTTTCTTAGTCCATTGACTTTCCCCCCCACGTATAAATGGGATCTCAGTCACCTCATCAGTGGCTCTTCCTTCCCGTGTCAAAGTTGGGGCAGAGGAGGGGGCTGCAGAACTACAGCAGGGAAAGCAGTGCTGCACTCCCCTTCCCTCCTCCCACCCCCCAAGTTCTTTAGGTGGACTCAGCCACACTCAGAGATGAGGTACCTTTGTGGCACTGTGGGTTAATGTGCCATCCTGCAAAGCCGTTTGAACTGCAAGGTCAGCAGTTCAAGCTCACCAGCTGCTCCTCTAAAGTCCTATACAGGTTTGCTATGGGTTGAACCGACTTGAAGGCACTTCACAACAACAACTACCCAGAGAGCTCCCCCTTGGGATGCTGCGGCCATAAGTTTCCTCCATTTCAGATCCTAATACACTTCTCTGCCTCACTGTGAACTCCCCAAACCAAGCTGTGTCTCCTGTCTGGATACTGCAATGAATCGCAATGGGTCTCCACAACCATCTTCTCTTCCGCCCCTGCCACCATCCAACTGCACCCCCAGAATGGACTGCTAGGTGTCCAAGCCCTACCAAGGTACCCCTGTACAGAATCTGCCTTATCTTGCTGCCCAGTGTCCCAGTGTCTGTCCCCCCGTGTCCCAGTGTCTTTCCTTTGTGTCCTTCCAGCCTCACTCCGGCTATTCTTGGCTTGCACTTGGCTTTCTGGATCTCACTGAGGGCACACATTGTCTACCTGCTGGTCATAGCAGTGGCTGCTCCTTCTGCCCCAAACACTGTCTTCCAGCCACCACCCTAATGGGATTTCTGGTATGGTGCTATGGGTTAATGCGCTGGACTGCAAGGTCGGTTAGAACCGCAAGATAGGTGGTTCAAGTTCACCAGTTGCTCCTCAGAGACACTATACAGAGTCACTATGGGTCGGAAATGACTCGACAACACTTCACAACAATAACCCTGACAGGATGATGTGAGCGACGTCAGGCGTCAGCTTAGCTAGAAGCCTCCTCCAGGAAGCCTGCCTTCATTGCCAGGTTGGGTAAAGCCCTTCTGTGAATACTTACAATCCTGTGCTCTTTCCCTGTTGTTGTTTTTAAGTGCCATCGAGTTGGTTCCGACCCATAGCGACCCTGTATAGGGTTTCTGAGAAGTGACTGGTGAGCTTGAACCGCCAACCTAGCGATTGTTGTAGTGTTGTCAAATAAAAATATAGCCAAACGTAGGCAGGGAGGGACTTTATTCAGAAAAAGAAGGAGGTAGGACAACACTTGAATCCCAGATCTGCAAAGAGTGTGGGGAAAGGTGTTTGCTCTTAAAGAGACAGAGATTAAACAAGGCTAGAAAAAACCTGGGTCTGGAAGTGGGATGATATCAGATAGTAAACTGAGGCCTGCCTGTTGTTGTTCCGACCCAAAGCGACCCTGTACAGGGTTTCTGAGGCTGTAAATCTTTAGAGGAGCAGAAAGCCTCATCTTTCTCCCATGGAACAGCTAGTAGTTTTGAACTGCTGACCTTCTGGTTCGCAGCTCAATTCGTAACCACTACGCTATCAGAGATTCTCTGGGAAAACAGACTAAGCAAAACTAAGCCCATTCCTTTGAGCTGACTTCAACTCCTAGTGCCCCATGTGCTGCAGAGCTGAACTGCTCCACAGGGTTCTCCTGGCTATAATCTTCATGGGCGCTCACCCCAGGCCTTTCTCTGGGTGGGTTCAAACTAACAAGGAGCTGGTTAGTAGCAGAGTGTAACCATCTGTGCTTTCCAGGGACTCTATCAGTATTCAGCGTTGTTGTTAAGTGTCGTTGAGTTGGTTCCTGAGGAGTGGCTGGTAGATTTGAACTGCTGACCTTGTGGTTCACAGTCCAGTGCTGGTCCTGCAGCACCATACCAGGCGTTCAATCAGTAATAGACACTCAAAAAATCTTTGTGGGCTCATTTCAACCAAAATCCAAACTCAATGCCTGTGAGCCAATTCTGACTCATTCAACTCTTAGGATCATAAAAGAATAGAGTTTGTTAGCGGTTTTTCTCACTTAAGGAGCCCTGGTGGCACAGTGGTTTAAGCACCAGGTTGCTAACTAGAAGGTCTGTAGTTTGAACCCACTATCTGTTCTGTAGGAGACAGATGTGGCAGTCTGCTTCCATCAAGATATATAGCCTTGGAAACTATGGGAGAGTTCAACCCTGTCCTGCGTTACTCTGAGTTGGAATCAGCTGAGGGGCAGTGGGTTTGGTTTGAGTTCTAACTCTGCCTCTAACTTGTCAGGGTGTTTGCCCACAGCATGAAGGGTTAGACCCACTCTTTGTGATCCATCTGCTCTAGTGCAGAGCTAGTCCTGGTGATCTGAGGACCAGCAGCACCTGCCATACCTGGAAGCAGGTTAGGAACACAGACTCTCAGACTCCACCCCAATCCTACTGAGGCAGAATTCTGGTGGGTGGGGTCCAACAATCCGTGTCTAACAAGGGATACTGGCACACCAAGCAAAAAGTTTGAGAAGCAGCTTTTGTGGGTGGGTACGTGCTGTGGAGTCAGTTCCAACTCACAGCAATCCATTTAGGGTTTCCAAGGTTATAAATCTTTATGGGAGCAAAAGGCCTCATTTTTCTCGCGAGGAACCACTGGTAGTTTCACACTGCTGACCTTGAGGTTAGCAGCCCATCTCATAAGGCTCTAGAAGTGGGGAAATGCTGGGATTGAGGATACCCCTTGCTGCCCCCTGCAGGTGGATTTTGAAGACGTGATCGCTGAACCTGTGGGCACCTACAGCTTCGACGGTGTGTGGAAAGTGAGCTACACCACCTTCACGGTCTCCAAGTACTGGTGCTACCGTCTGCTGTCCACACTGCTGGGCGTCCCGCTGGCCCTGCTCTGGGGCTTCCTGTTTGCCTGTATCTCCTTCTGCCACATCTGGGCAGTGGTGCCCTGTATCAAGAGCTACCTGATCGAGATCCAGTGCATCAGCCACATCTACTCGCTCTGCATCCGCACCTTCTGCAACCCGCTGTTCGCAGCCCTGGGCCAGGTCTGCAGCAGCATCAAGGTGTTGCTGCGGAAGGAAGTCTAAAGCCAGGTGGGGTGATGTGGGTGGCAGGGCAGAGGGAGGCAAGCTAAACTGGCCACATGGAACTGTTCCACGAGGATACTCTCCTAGGGAGGGCTTTCTCTTTAGGGAATGCACAAAGTGGAGGGGAGCCAAGAAGAAAAGGCAGCCCAGCCACACAAAAGCACAGGGGTCCTCCCCTCCACCCTAGCCCCATCATGATGCCCCCTCCATGACCTGGGGGGTGAGGGAATCGTTTGCTGAGAGGGCAGCTATTGCAAGTCTTTGCATTCACTTGTACTGTACCAGCAAAAAAAAAAGTCAGGGTCAGCCTGTCCACGCATGCCCAGGAAAGCACCCAGGAACTGTTGGCATTAGGAGGGTGACTCCAATAAAGGGTTTGACTGATTCAGGGACTATTGTGTTTTGTCTGTATCCATAGGTTGGTATGTGTCCTACAAATGATCTATTTCACAATTTGTATATCAGTGAAAATATATTTCACTGTCCTGAGAAACAGATAAGAAAAGTGGGTTGCCCTGCTCCTGGCCAAATAAAAGGACCAGAAGATAATTTAGGGTTTAAGGTGGATGGGATTCTTCTTGTTTGCTGAGCATTGGCTCCCCCTGTGTTTCTTGGGACTATTATCCACTGACTGCTATGTTCCCAGGCCAGCCAGGGACCCCAATGGAAAAAGTGGCTCTTGAGATGCCAGAGGTTGAAGTGCCCTTCAAATCACCTCTAAGAGCTGACACCAGGCTCCTAGCAGACCTGACATGCCCATGTGACATGTACACTTTCCACCCTAAGTAAGAGATGTATAAGAGGCAAGAAGGTCCACTTTGTGCAGGTCTGGACTCGCTATGGAAGTAACAAAGCAACAGAAATGGTCTCATCTATCTCCCTTCCGTTTCTTCCTCCAAACCCTGGCAGTCTTACATTCTTCGTTGTTGTTAGGTTCTGTTGAGTTAATTCCAACTCATAGAGAGCCCATGCACAACAGAATGAAACACTGCCGGGTGTTTCACTCCTTCATCCTCACAACTGTTGTTATGTCTAAGCATATTGATGCTGCCACTGTGTCAATCATCTTGTTGGGAGTCTTCCTCTTTCTCGCTGATCCTCCACTTTGCCAAGCATCATGTTCAACTTTCACAAGCATATGAGGTAACTGAAAAGACCATAGCTTGAACCAGGCACACCTGAGTCCTCAAAGTGATATCTTTGTTCCTTAACACTATAAAGAGGTCATTTGCAGCAGACCAGCCTAAGGCAATATATTCTTTGATTTCTAGACACTGCTTCTATGAGTATTGATTGTGGATTCAAGCAAAATAAAGTATTTGACAACTTTAATCTTTTCTTGATTTATCATGTTATGTATTGGTCTAATTGTGAGGATTTTTGTTTTCTTTACATGAAGGTGTAATCCATACTGAATGAAGGCTGTAGTTTTTTTGTTTTGTTTTTTTATCTTTATCAAGTCCACTTTGCTTCCAGCAAGCAAGGTTGTGTCATCTGAGTATCACAGGTTGGTAATGACTCTTCCTTCAATCCTGACGCCACATTCTTTATACAATGCAGCTTCTCAGATTTGCTCAGTTTACAGATTCAATAAGTATGGTGACACAATACAACCTTGATGCACATCTTTCCTGATTTCAAACCATTCAGGTTTCCCTTGTTCTAGTCAATGACTGTTTCTTGGTCTATGTAGAGGTTCCTCATAAGCAGAGTTTGTTGTTGTTGTTAAGTGACGTTGAGTTGTTTCTGACCCATAGTGACCCTCTGTAGGGTTTCCAAGGAACAACTGGTGAATTTGAATCTCTGACCTTGTGGTCAAACTGACCTTATGTACCAGTGTTTAAGCCTACATTGCAATTTAATTGTTCTGAAATTCCCATTCTTCGAAATGTTATCCATTCACTAGGGCTGCTTTTTTACAGAGTGTGTTGTCTAGAACTTTAAGTCTTCAAAAACAGCAAGGGAAAGGAACAATTTTTTTATTTGTGGTCATTTCTTAAATGTTACCTATTTCTTGCAGAGATTTTCAATAACATTCACACATTAAAGGTGCTGGTAAATTCTTCAGTCAAGAACCTGCTTCAATTATTATCCCTCAGTCCTATTTGACCTCTTTTTTTTTTTTTTTTTTTTTTTAATACAAGACACCTTTATAGTCTCTTAGAATTAAGATTCCTTGGAGGATGCTTTCATTGGCACCTGGCTGTAAGTCCAAGAGGTACTTGGGAGGTTGTGTGGGGGAGGGGACCACTTCAGAGTGGGAGCCAGGACACTGGTGGCCTGGATTGTAGTCCCCACCTCTGCTCCCAGAGGTATAACCTTGATCAAGTTGCTTCTTTCTCTGGCCTCAATTTTATGGTTCATAAAATGATATCTAATCATTTCAGCTTTGGATCTTTGCCTCTATTTTAATGTTTTCTTAACCTCTACTTAGGTAATAATAATTTAAAAAAATTCTTGACCTCTACTTATGAAATGAAGTCCTGGGTTAATATGCTGAACTTCAAGGTTGGTTTGAACCTCAAGGTCAGTGGGTCAGGCTTTGTCTGAAACCCTATATAAGGTTGTGATGGGTAGGAACCGATCCCACGGCACTTAACAACAACAACAAACTTTTGGAATGTTCTAACACAGAGAGAGTTGGAGGATTTGCAGTAACTCCACTGTTGTTGTTGCAGTGGGCTGACATAAGCTGCTGGCATAAAGGTCACAGTTAGAACCCACCAGTCACTCCTCAGGAGAACAATGAGGCAGTCTGTTCCCATTAAGATTTACAGTCTCAGAAACCCTAAGGAGCAATTCTACTTTGTCCTAGAAGGTCGCTAGGAGTCTGAATAGACCGGATGGCATAGGGTTTGGTTTCTTGGTTGTTGTTAGGTGCCATTGAGCTGATTCCTACCCACTGTTACTTAGTTAACACGGACTCCTAGAAATCCATGTGGTTTCTGAGGCTATAAATCTTTATGGGAAAAGGCAGACTTATCTTTCTCCCACAGTGTGGCTGGTGGGTTTGAACAATCAACCTTGAGGTAGTAGCCCAGTGCTTATCCTACCATGCAGTAGGGCTGCTGACTTTTTGTTTCTGTTGTTAAGTGTTGTCAAATCAGTACCATCACTAGATGCTATAATTAGCATTTTAAGGTTCTTGGTTTATACATCTCTATGTGGCACTGTGGGCTAATGCGTCAGACTGCAGTCATTTGAACTGTAAAGTCAGTGGTTCAAACTCAGCCAACTGCTCCTTGAAAATGCTATACAGGGTCACTATAGGTTGAAATCAACTCAATGGCACTTAACAACTACAATCCATCCCTCTATCCATCTTCAGTCCCATTTTTCTTTATTCATGTCTAAGGTGCAGGTATCAGTACATTTTGCCTCTAAACATGTCACCATTTATACATTTTTGTGAATGAGAAACTGGCAGCCCAGAGAGGTCAGCACACTTTCCAGAAGACACACAGCTCAGCAGGGCAGCACTCTGGTTCAAGCCTATCACTTTCTCCTCTGCCCTAGGGCTCTTTGTAATTACTGCTTGCACTCAGCAGGCCCAGAGAAGTTGCAAATGATTATGGCCACTATTACTTCTCACCTTCTCAAAGGGCCTGCCTGCCTGCCTTTTCAACAGCTCTTGAAATCAGTTGGCATCAGTTTCAGAATGGAAATCTGAGATGGCAGAGATGTTCACCATCTTGGCATTTGTTGTAACTGAACTTGGCAACGACTCCAATTCTTCAAGTTTGCTCACCTTCACTGGGGGCAGACCATGGGCAGTGCTCAATTAGCCATGAAGTTCATGGAACTTGAGAAAGGAAGGACATAAATAGCAAATTTACCTGCTGGAGAATGTCTGTTCTTTCCACAAACAGAAGCCACATGCAGAAGAGCACTTTGGGAGCTTAATGAGAGTAGGCTGAAGTTTCTCTTCCTGAAAAGCCCTCACAGAAGGTGCACACAGGGCGTCAAGGACTCTTGTTTAAAATGCATATTCTGAGACCCCATCTCCAAAATCTGATTTAGTAGTGAGGCCCAGGAATCTGCATTTTAACACAAATCCACCTGCTTACTGCTGTTGTCAAGTGCCTTCGAGTCAGTTCTGACTCATAGCGACCCTGTATAGGGTTTCCAAGGAGCAACTGGTGGGTTTGACCCACTGGCCTTTCTGTTAGCTGTCCATTGGTTATTCTAAAGCACCACATCAAGACTCCAAAACCCATTTGCAGGTGATCCTCAAATCCCACTTTAAGAAATTCTTTATAGAGTTCCTACTAGCTGGTCATCTAGAATTCTACTATTTCCAGAGTTTGTGCTTTTTTCCTGTTGTGACAGTATAGGATAAACACTGGATTGCTAACCACAAGGTCAGGAGTTCAAACCCACCAGGCACTGCTCAGAAACCCTATAAAAAGGGTCACTATGAGTCAGAACTGACTTAATGACACTTAACAGGAACATCAACAACAAAGCATCTTCTGACAGAACTGTGAAAAAAGAATGCCCTCTGTGGCCCCAGAGAACAAGACCAGGTGTTCCTTCCTACACCCCAAGGCAGCCACACACACCTCTGTCAGACCCCAGGGGAGAGAACTTTGGTTTGTATGCAACCAGAGATAGTCAGGGGCAAGTGAACTATAAGAAAAACTGTTTATTAAGTGCACCTTTTATATAGCAGCTAATGAAGCAGGCATCTCGTAACTGATCTTGTCATTTACCTAATGACTGGGAACACACGGGTACCACACAGTCATCACAAAAAACAGAGTTAAGGAATTTACAGTTTGCATTAAGTGATGTTTCATTGCAATTGAATGCAAAAAAAATGAAGCACTTTGAAACCAAGATCTTTATTAAAAGGCAGTCTGTACCTTTCCCTTAATGCTCCCTAAAGTCACC